AGTATCGTGATCGAAAAGGCAGAAAGATGGTCACACAAAAAACACTCCGTGAAGAGTTCATTCTGGTCCACTCACATCGCATGGTTGTAGAGCATCCCTTCCAAACCTCTTCTTCAACATAACTAAATTCCTCGCATCCCGTGTAGACTCAATCTGTGGGTGGGATATGTAAGACATACCCAATAGGCGCTGACACATCAACTCGCGGTATCTACCATGACGCTAGCGTTCATTGACGGATTAGGTGAGAAAAGTATGCAGTTAGAAACTCAGTCGAAAGCCGCGTGTAGGCAGAGAAATGAACCAACACAGAGCTCACTCTCGGATGAAGATATCTTCAGAACCGTAGACGCCAACCACGAGCAAAGGCAGCATTTGAGCTTCTGTCGACCCTCTCTCGGAACACTGTGAGATCGGAGGAAACCTGAGGACGAAGTTGAGGGGGCGAACGATTCGAACAGAGTACACTGCGTCGGTACGAACGCCAGATAGACATTAAGATGCCGAGCCGGATTAAGTCACCTCTCATCCCATACACGAATGAATCCTGTGCCTTCTAGAACAGCAGCCGACTGCACCGGCGAAGCCAACAGCCGCATCGATCTGTCGTGCGTCCCGGTGATGACCGGTGTCTCAAAGTTGTATAAGCCGAGCCACTCGCCCGAGGTACTATATCGCTTTAGCCGTGCCGCAGGGGCTTTAGCATAATCATCGTCATCTGAGAACACCACTAGTCGCATAGCTAATACGCGAGCGCAATGATCGCGTAGAAGATGAACACTATGGATCGACCGCCGAAGAATGCACCTTTTAGTGTTTCCTCATCCCAGCCGTTCTCGGATCCCTCTAGCATGGCCGCCACCACACATTTAACGGTGTCGCTACGGCCTTGAAGGAAGGACACCACGGGCTCACAGATCCAGTCAAAGACCTGGAAAATGTAATACCACACCAATTCACAGTTGTATCGGCGGAGCCAGTCATGCGAACGATCAAAGTGAATTGTCTTCGTGGCGACTCAGGCTTCAATAAGATATGTTATCGTGATCCTCACCTTGCGTGCAGTATCCCGTCGACCGCTATTCAAGAGGACACCAACAGCATTGAATGTCCGAAGATAGACCTTCAAAACATCAGAAGTGTGGGCGCTCGGAATAAGTAGACGCCGGTGGAATTCCAACTGTATGGCAGCTGCGAGCTGGACCATGAGCGAGCGACTGCCGAGTAGTCGATGAAAGTAACAGCAGCTCGAGCGCCTACGTCTCTTTGATTCTGAATCCCCTATTCTTGCAGGCCTCGACGTACTTGATGCACCATGAGAGGTCTATCAGGGCTTGTGTGCTATACGGGTAATCCTGAGTGCGATGATGACGACCACATCCCCGCTCAGTGGTAACCAACACTCACACGAATCATAGCGAACACTCCCTGATCTCTCCTATCGATGACTGTGTTTCTGCCGTGGCATGTTCTCGGGACTCGACACCGCGTGCGGACCATCGTCCAACACACCATCGCCTTCCAAAAGCCGCAGCCATCAGCGAAGGAGGCGACATCAGCCGGCTCGATCAGCTCCGGAATGATGGTGGAGAAGTAACTATTATAAGATCTCAGACGTCGGAAAAAGTCTGAGTACGCGTTCACCGCAACAAGGGGCTCAGAATAGAGATGTTCAAGTCTTGCCGACAACCAAGGGCCACCAACGGCGTGATAAGATCATCCATGAGAATGCGACGCCATGCGACGGACCATGGCTCGTTCAAGCCACAGGAACTGATCAGGCTCCGTACCTGAGCAGAGGAATTGTCCGATTGAGACGAGTTGATGATATTATTCGGTGAGTGAATAATAATACCATCTAGCATCTGAACTGACCTTACTGGACGCTTACCTTGGGAGCATGCGCCAGGCCGCTCGCGTCCCGTCCTTTCTCGTTCAAACCGTCCCTGAGTGTTTCCTTCCACGGCAGCCACTCCTCTGCCTCTGTTCGCCCCGGCATCAGATGCATCAAATGTTCCATTCCTCCGCAGACTCGTGAGGCATCATCGGCCGAATGGTCATCATCGACATTAATAGTACGGAACGGGTAGCTCATAAGCGGATCTGGGAGCTTCTGTTCGGAGGCAGCATCGATATCCGACAGACCCGATGACGACACATCAGAATTTTCAGTAGGCGTGCCAAAACAGTGCCTGGATGATACCTCTGTCACACAAGAGTGCCCAAAGGAGTCTACCTCCCGTTCACGATAGCACGATGTATGTAATAGAGGATACAGGGACGAAACATAGCCACTTCATAGTCATAACAACGCCTCGATTTCTCTGAGGCTCCTTTGATGGCTTCTTTCACCCAACCCTGATATAGCCAGCAGATGTGAGTGTGTATGACAACGCGCTTACCTTCACCACTCCGGGATCGCCCAGTGTTACAGATGCGGTCTCGACTTGGTCCGCGAGGTCTTCCAGCCACTGCAACCACTGACTTTCATCATCCACCGGTGCAGAACGAACCAACGCTGAAGAATTGAAGGTACAAAAGAGGTCGACCGCGCTACTCTGTGACCACCCGTGATGTGCGACTTCATATGCTCTTCCGAGACTGCGCCCATGTGCACATCTCGAGGCACCGAACACGATGATGAAGACGATGTCATGGCGGGAATTACGACTACGAGATGCCGCTAGTATTAACTAATGCAGCGTGAGCCGATCTCTAGCGGACTGATAGCTCTCC